GTGTGTTTGTGTGTTTGTGTGTTTGTGAGTTTGTGTGTTTGTGTGTTTGTGTGTTTGTGTGTTTGTGTGTTTGTGTGTTTGTTTGTTTGTTTGTTTGTGTGTGTGTGTGGGTGCGTGCGTGCATGCATGCGTGCGTGCGTGCGGGGGGGGGGGGTGGGTGGGTGGGTGGGTGGGTGGGTGTGTGTGTGTGTGTGTGTGTGTGTGTTTTTGAGGGTGCCCTCTCTCAGTGTGGTTTAGAGGGAACCCAATGCAGTTTGGGGGCCCCTGCTTGAACACGCACCCGAATTCTTGCCGACTGGCTTGCCCCAAGCCCAGGTGGATCTCAGAACTGGGTACTTGCTGGTCGATCTCAAGTTTGGCCGGCGCCTCATTTTGCTTTATGGAGTGGAGGGATCACTCTTCAAGCACCGTGCGAGCTCTATGTAAGAAGATTCCACATGGGGCGGTTGCTGCTTGGAACCATCAGTAGTTGATGAAAATTGTTGCATAGTGTGATACTTCAAGCATCTTCAGACCAAGTCTTACACCCTTTGATTGCTTGTCCCATGGTACGATATGACGTGATTCTTGTTCAGTAAGTTTGTTCTCGACATACGAAGAGCCGCAGAACCTCCCGAATCTACGTTCTGGGTTCTGAGGCCTATTTACATACAAGTCGGGAGATGTCGGGAACATTGTGAAGCAGCGGTAGTGCACTGACATGTCTCATAGTCTCCTTCCGGAGCAGGCAGTTTGGGCATGACACATTTGCAAGCTGGCTGTTGTCAACGGCGCTGACCCATCCAAACGCATCATCTACTATGCCCATTTGCTCATGCACAGAATCACATGCATAATTTGACGACGAGGTCCCAACATGCTGGGCAACACACTCGATGAGAACAGCATAGACGGCTATGTGCTTGACTCAGTTCCAGCTTTGCCCCGAAGGGAACTCAGGCCCACTGGCGGCTTCTGACCCAAAAACATGCTTCGCTAGATTCCGGACTCTACCATTAAGTCCATTGAAATGTTGCCTGTGTTTGCTCTTTGTGTTGCAATAGCTGCCCATTCGATTGGCCAGCAATGGCCAACATGACAGCAATGGAAGGGAAGGCGGCAAAGCATCTAATCTGGGGCTGCCGGGCCGAGCAACTGGCCATGGTAGGAGCAGAGCCACCATCAAGCCTTGCAGACGTTTATCAGGGGCTATGCCACTCGAGGCAGTTTTCCACTCACTGACATACCAAATGGCAGGAACACGCAACAGCGCTCTCAGCATGGAAGGTGGGTGGAAGGCTAAGGCGTGAGGAGAACGCGCCATGCAATTTCCCAGCCACACTTGATATTCTAGTCATCAAAACTGCTGGAACAGGCAGTTAGGATGTTCGTGGCTCAGATGTGCGACGGCAGGTACCAGGGGTGGGAGTCTTGAGGACTTCGGCATTGCTTTTCATGCTTATTCCAAATCAATGGCCATCCGCTAGTGGACATATTAGCAATAGCAACAGAAATAATATAGTTTGCTTCATTTCCATTGTGGAGGAATCAATTGCGAGTCAAACTTGCTAGCATTCTTGGATGTCTGAAGATCCCCGTTCGCATCGAAGTTGGAAGGGTTGGTTCCCGAATGAATATACGTGTACACAAGTTACCAGGGACTGGCTTCAGATGTCAACTCTTTCACTTGAGACCCTCGGCTAGGCTATCTTCATGACCGACCTGGCCGGGGATCGGATTTCGGAGAGCCCAGCCTTGAGCTCGGCTTTTGGCAGTGGAATCAGATGCGATATCGGTTTTGGAGGGTACCTTGTTTGGGGTCATTTTAAAGGAACACCAAAGAGAGAACACCCATGTTTGAAGGTTCCTCTGGCCAGTGACAATTCTGGATAGATCAGGTCTTTTTTCTGTTTGAAGAATCGTGACCGCCTTCCCCATATCCTCATATGACCGCGACAGCTGCATAGGAACACAATGGTCTCTAGTGTCAGCCAGATCTTGGCAACGGATGGCCCAGTCCTCTAACCGGTTAAATGTTGGTGATGTTTGATGGGGGGCTGCAACACCGACAACGGATGGAAATTGCAGCACTCCTGCACTCCATGCTTTGATTGCTGGGGCGAGGGGAGAGCCACAGCCATGGTGTACTTCGAGCGCCTGGTGAGGTGTCTACAGTGGCCAAATTGTACGGCTCCAGTTTGGCGAAGGGCGGCTGTTGCGAGGCGACCCGGCTGGATGATCGGCTCGGGGAGCCAGGGTCGATTGGACTTGAACCAAGTCAAGTAGCACCCAGCCAGAACGAACAGCAAAATGAAACTGACGCGAAAAAGGATTAATCAATCGTCGCTAATCATTGGTGGCAGCCACAGCAGTCGGCTCTGCTGGATTGGCTGGGTCGGCATGCTTGTGCCATGCAAATGCCCGGGAGTTTTGACCATAGCTCATGTCGCGACAGCATGAGATGCGGCGGCCTTTGTGTGATGGAGCAAATGAATCACGCTCTGTGTTTTTTTCGTGCGACAGGCAATCAGAGATTTTGGGCAGGAAAACCAGCGTGAATATGGGAGTTGTTAAAGACAACATACATCCGGCAAGAAATGCAGAAGTGCAACGCTGCATGATCACTGACCCTGTGTCACGCCAGCCTGTAGTGCCTGTCGTGTGCGAGAGGCTGCTGCTTACTCTGCCCGGGTGACGGTCAAGCTGCCACCCGGGGTCGCAGAGGCGCTTTGGTTGAACAGTTTTGATCAAGTTTTTGCACCTTCAAGTTTTTTCGTTGGATTTCTAACTTGGCAAACGTCAGCGACTGCCACGCGAGGTGCGGTTTGAGGTGGCGCCGATCCTGACAGGCCATGGAGGGTGGTTTTGCCACCGGGGCGATGTGGCGGCGGGCAGTGGTAAAATGTAGGGGAGAGTCAACCAATCTTAAAGTATGGGTAGACATGCAAAGAAAGGGGAACACCACATCATACTTCCTGCTTGAACTATGTGGGGAGTTCTTGGCACAAGCTTGGATGCTGGAGTTTTACTATTCTTGCTTCCGGGCGTTGCAGTGGTGTGATCAATTGAAGTTATTTGAATTGAACAATTGGGGCAAAACAAGGGCCCAAAGAGACAACCTGGGCAAGCCAAATGTGCAGTTGTTTCCTCATTTCGGATTTTGTGAGGAGAATAATGGACAGTATGGACACGTTGGGGCTTGTGCTCATTTTCTTCAGGGGAAGCCCGCCAGAATAAATACATGCAGTTTTTCCCTTCAGAATTTGTTTCATTTTGGTCCCAAGGTCGTGACCTTTCTAACTGAATCGAAAGGTCTCACATTTCAAGCGTGTACGAATTCAATGTAGGGCGGGGTGCAGCCCATCCAGGCCTCGGCCCCTTGGCAGTGGGCCGAATCTCAGTGCGGTGCCCAGAATTTGGCTTCAGAGAGTTTGGGGGAGGGATTCCCTTGGAACAGGAGCCAGCCAGCCGCCCTCCCCGAGATGTTCGCTTGACCAATTTGGGCATGACTACAATTCATGCTACCGCAAAGCCCTCCAGATTGGCAAGTGTCATCTGAGATTTGTGGCTGTTTGGAAGGCAACAATGAAGTCATTGCCACGGACGGGGCCTGATTAAGAGACAAACGGGGAGCCAGTATTTGAAAAACAGAGCCCTGGCCAAAATTCAAGGTGTAGAAGGTGGCAACACATTCTTCCGTGGGCTACGGCTGTTATGAACAGCATCATCAGGGTTTCAGGGGCGGCTGTCAATTTGGCACGCTGCTGTAAAACTTGTAGCACACAATCCATCACGGAGTGCCACTGTCACAGCTCTGGCAAGTGCGAGGCAAAGCCACATCGTTTGCTTGTTGCTATTGGTTGGCAACGTCGTGGCTCAGTTTCATTTGTTCTATCGTAGAAGGGCAATGCCAAACCAGGACTCGGCATGTCGGCTAGACGCCGCAATGCCAGTGGTCAAATTTGGTGTGACTGGCAGCTAAGGCGCCTGTGGCGACCCTGGCGTGTTTAAGAACCAGCTGATGGGATGGAGCGGTCTCCAATTCAGTGGCTGTGTTTGTCTTAGCGACCCTTGAATGAGTTGATTCGTCCATCTCCAAGGTGTGTTTCGCTGGACGAGCTCATGTAAGCCTTGTGAGCGCCGAGAATGAGCAACGCCAGGCTGATGCCAGTCCATTCAACCAGGCCACCACATCTGCCGCCAGAACCTCAGTGATGCTCCACAGAGAATAGCCAGTCTCACCTTCGGTGTAATCAGGCTACTTGAAGGGTATGAAGTTGTTTATCACAGGATGTTCCTCAATTTGGATGAGTTCTTATAGACTGACCAACATGGCGGACAGCCATCACACCGCGTGATTCTCGTTGATCATCCCGCAAAGCAATTGAAGCCTGCAGCATTTGCTGATTGTCAGCAACTGAAGGTGTTCAACGAACAGCAACTCTCATGGCCTGCACTTCAACCACGTTATTATATAGTACCTGCAGGTTTCCAGAACCCACACATGATATTCTGTTGAAGCATGCGACCCTGGGAATGAACTGCGCTACTCATGTCAGGCGCGCAACGCCCACCACGAAGTGGTCGGCGTTGGGGTTGGTGCCTCAGATAGTGAATGATGCTTGCAGGTCTGTCTAAATGCGGTGACCTCATCCCAAGTTGGCAGTTGAGTGACCAGCCATTTGCAGGGTTTTGGACCTATCCCGTGCAAGATATTGCTCATTCCAGAGCTGTGTCGAGGCACTTCTATTCGTGTCCTTGATGAGAATTTGATGCGCTTTTCGAAGAAAAGGAAAAACACACATGTCGCCGGGCGCGCACGCGCTCGTGTCTACACAATCAATACCAGGTGCGCTTGGCATGCAATCTAATAAAACCATAAGTCTTGGATTCAATTGTATGTCCTCCTTTGACGGGCCACCCGCAAGGGAACCGCAGATTGTCGTGTTTCTTCTGACAAATCACGAAAGCTACGCTAGCATTGAGTTCTCCTTGGTGTACAAGCTTAGGGGGCTGGGAGAAGGCTACTGATTTGATTTGAATCCCAGGACATTCTCGACTACTTCGGATTTCCGCATGCCCTGGTCCCCGCCTCCCCGGCCCTGCCCCACCAGCACATTCCCACAATCTCGCCATGCTTGCGGCTGAATCGATTTGATTAGCTTAGGACCTCCAAGGACTTCATGGATTCCTGGTGTCCATTTAAGGTTGCTGTTACCATCTTGGCAACCACTGGGCCGAAAATGTTGTTGGTGAGCGGGCCTAGCTTTCGTTCACCCTCCTCTCAAGCAAAATAATGGCGGACAGCGCTCCACAATTGGGCAACAATCCAATCGCTTCATTTCGAACTTCACTTAAGGCCCGCATACATGATGAAAGGATCCCCGCATTATGCACATTCCCCAAATTCGAAACCATTTTTAATTTTGAAACATTAAAAACCATTTTCTTGATTGAAATTAATAATTATACAAATTATGATAATTCTGATAAATTAGATTTAAGATTTTAGATTATAATTGATATTTATAGGAATTATTCAAAAATATTTTGTTTTTTGAAAGATAGGGTATTATTTAATTTTGATATTCTCCTACGATGCGGCCGCGAGGTCGTATTTCTCGTGCATTGGAAAACTGTTGTAGCGGTATTTCGACCTAATCGTAATGCTTGCGGCGAACGGTTATGCTTGTCCCGTTTTTTTCTCCGCGGCACAAATTTCCGTTTCTTCGCGCGGCCCGGAAGGCTCCGAAAATTTGCCGAAATTTCGAGGGGTTTTTCTATAGCTTTGCTTAGAATTTACGCGGCGTAATGCGTCCAAGTTTTCTCGAATTTTGGGTCGTTTCCGGCGATATGGCTTTTAGGATTCCGGACGTTGCACCCGCAAATTTCTTTAGAATTTGGTGACTAGTCGAACAAAAATACCGGGCCAAATTTCGAGGAAATTTGGGGATTCGTTTGAGTCGAAATTTCTTGAAAATTTCGTGCCGCTCGTCTCCGTATTCTTGCCTCTCTTTGTGTCTCTTAGTGTTCGTTTTTATCTGTTTCGTAATCTCTGTATTTATTTTTGTGTATCTTTGTATATCCCAATTTGTTTCTTTTTGGTGTTTGTGCTTCTCTCTCTTTATTTGTTTATTTGTGTTTCTCTGTTTCTCGGGTTGTCTTGGTTTGTCTTTGTTTATTTGTATGTGTCCGTGTTTGATGTTCGTCTTTATTTCGTTGTGTTTTTTTTTTTGTGTCTTTTTGTGTATTTCCGCGTGGTCGTGTTTGTTTATTTGGTAATGTCTATTTATATTTGTTTTTACTTTTTTTTTTATATTTATTTATTTGTGTTTGTTTTTACGGGTTGGTTCACAAAGATAACGCATTTCCGCGTTGTGTATCTAAGCTCCGTTTGCTTCCTTTCATTCTGTCTTCTTTTTTTGTTTTTGGTTATTATTTTTATTGTTTTTGCTTGGTTTGCCTCTTTCTTTCTTCTTTTTTTTCCCCCCCTTTGGTGGCACTTTATCGCTTATAGGATGAGTGAGAAACAGCTTGCTTAGGTCTTGTTGGGGCATCGACTGGTCTCTCCCGGGGCCGGAGGCATTTTGGGGAGCCATTGCCTCTACTTCGGGCATCTTCGTTAGCAATAACTCCTCTTGTTACGAATCTCTCTTTTTCTTTTTCTCTTTTTCTGATTCCTCCTTTTTTATTCTCTCTTTCTCTATTTCTCTTTTCTTTTTTTCTTCCTCTCTTTTTTTCTCTGTTTTTTTTCTTTTTTTCTCTCTCTCTCTTTCTTTTTCTCTCTCTTTTTCTCTTTCTCTCTCTCTTTTTCTCTTTTTTTTCCCCGTTTTTGTTTGTTTTTTCTCTTTGTTTTTCTTTATTATTTTTTTCCATTTCTCTTTTTTTTTTTTGATTTGTTTTTCCTTTTTATTTCTGTTTTGTTTTCTTTTTCTCTCTTTATTATTATTATTATTATTTTGATTGGTATTATCATTGATGGAATTATTGTTTTTACTATTTATATATATATATATATATATATTATACTATTAAACATATTATTTTTTTTAATTAATTTATTTCTCTGCACCGGATTGATGGAACCAGACCTCGGTCTAGCAGTTCGCAGCTCGATGGCTCAACCCTGCGAAAAGTGTTAACTTGTTGCACCTTGTCCGGCGTTGCACTTGTAGCAAATGGGACAATCATCATCGCCCAACAAGTTAAAGTCCAAAGATCCAGCCAAACAGTAGCTAAGCCGTGAGAAAGTGTTGGGTGTGGGGGTGGGTTTGTGGGGGTGGGTTTGTGGGGGTGGGTTTGGTGGGGGTGGGGTGGGTGGGGGTGGGGTGGGTGGGGGTGGGGTGGGTGGGGGTGGGTTTGGTGGGGGTGGGTTTGGTGGGGGTGGGGTGGGTGGGGGTGGGGTGGGTGGGGGTGGGGTGGGTGGGGTGGGGGTGGGGTGGGGGGGTGGGGGTGGGGTGGGTGGGGGTGGGGTGGGTGGGGGTGGGGTGGGTGGGGTGGGTGGGGGGTGGGGTGGGTGGGGTGGGTGGGGTGGGTGGGGGTGGGGTGGGTGGGGGTGGGGTGGGGTGGGGGTGGGGTGGGTGGGGGTGGTGTGGGTGGGGGTGGGGTGGTGGGGTGGGGTGGTGGGGGTTGGGGTGGTGTGGGTGGGGGGTGTGTGGGGTGGGTGGGGTGGGGTGGGTGGGGGGGTGGGGGTGGGTGGGGGTGGGGGGTGTGTGTGGGGGGGGGTGGGGGGGGGGGTGTGGTGGGGGGGGTGTGGTGGGGGGGGGGTGTGGTGGGGTGTGTGTGGTGGGGGGGGTGTGGTGGGGGGGCTGGAGGTGCATACTTATGCTCAGCAATATTCGCAGGCAGTAGTGGCTTTGCAGCAGAATCAGGTTGCATCAGCAGAAAGAAGCAGTGGAAGCATCTTTCTTGAGGGAGCAAAGGTTTTGCAGAAACCAGATAACCTCGAGGAGGAGCTCGCGAGTTGGCCCGAATGGGCATTTCTTTTCAAGAGTTTCCATCGACCCGTCAAGGAGAAAGTGGCGAGGTCAAGCCGGCTATTTGCAGTTTTGACTTCGTACCTCAAGAACCGGCCACTTCGCATAGTTCGGAGTATGGGCACAGGAGATGGATATCAAGCATGGCAATCGTTATGCCGAGAATTCCAACCCTCAAGCAGGCAGAGATCAGTTGCGCTTGCGCAGGCAATTTTGAATTTTCCTTCGTTTGAGAGAGGACGTACATTGGATGGACTGTTGGCCTTTGAGAAACTTGTGGAAGACTATGAGAAACTCCAAGAATTCCAATAGTTATGACAAGGAAGGCAACAGATGAGTGCCACGCGTGCCGCTCGTGCCGTGCGCGCTTCAGGCGCCGAAAGCACCGAGGCTGCTGTTGCAACAGTGCCATCAGTGGCTGCTGCGGCCATTGGTCGCTGCCTCATTCTCATTGACTGGCTTCCTTCAGCTTTGAGCGGGGCCCGCATCTATAGGACTCATATAAGGAAAGGGGCACTGAAGCATGTAGTTGGGCACACTTGCAAGCTGTTGACTCCTGTCACAAGCTGTCTCAAAGGCTGCCACGCAAGCTGGCGTGTCGAAACGCACCGGCTTGTCAGATGTTAAATGCCCAGATCCTTTTGCTGTCATCCACAGCATGAGATCGTCCTGCTTCAGCGCATGGTTTCCAATCCAGAATGAGAACAAGGAGCCACTTTTAAGGTCTTTTCTCAGCTCATCAACCTGCAATTTGCTCGAACAATGTGTCCTTCGCAGAGAAATGCTTTGGTGAGGTCAAGCTCCAGTGGAGAGCACAAGAGCGTCATGCCCTTTCAGCAACTCCGCCGCTGATTCTGGGATTGTTTGGGTTCCGGCTGTGGATGGTCAGACTGTTGCCGGCTGAATCTCCTTTTGCGGAGAACATACAGGAGACCCCCCAGCCAGGTGGGCTTTCAGGGAGCGGAAGGTCATGAAGTTGTGAGCTGGTCTGCCGCTTAAAGCGGATCGGATGAGAACGGCCGCCAAGCCCACGCCTTTGTTTCAGTGGGGGGCTGTTTCCTGGGCTGTTTTTTGGCTTCACACTGCCACCAGAACAGAATGGGCGGGGCCGAGCTTGGCCGTTTTCACATTGCCGCGTGGCAAGCTTGAAAGTTCATAGCAAGGTGAGACAAAACTCACACACACAAGTTACTTTTCGTTTTGGCTTTTCGTTGTCGTTGTCGCGCCCTCGGCCTTGTTTATTCTTGTTCTCATCGTTGTGGCTGTGGCTGTGGCTGTGGTTGTTGTAGTTGTTGTGGTTGTGGTTGGGGTAGAAATCGCGGTTGTGGTCCTTTTGTTTGTTTGTTTGTTTGTTTGTCTGTTTGGATGTTTGTTTTGTTCCGTTTTTGTTGTTTTGTTATGTGTGGTTTTGTTTGGTTTGTTTGGTTCGATTCTAATTTTAGTTTGGCGGGTTTTGTTGGTTTGGGGTTGGTTTGGTTGGTTTGGGATTGGTTTGGTTGGTTTGGGATTGGTTTGGTTGGTTTGGTTGGTTTGGTTGGTTTGGGATTGGTTTAGTTGGTTTGGTTTGATTTGTTTGTTTGGTTGGCTTCGTTTGTTTGGTTTGCTTTGTTTGTTTGGCTTGTTTTGTTTGTTGGCTTGTATGGTTTGCGCGTTCGGTTCGTTTGTTTGCTTGCTTGCTTGCTTGTTTGTTTGTTCGTTTGTTTGTTTGTTTGTTTGTTTGTTTGTTGTTTGTCTGTTTGCGTGCTTGTTGATTGATTTTGCTGCTGCTGCTGCTGCTGTTGCTGTTGCTGTTGCTGTTGCTGTTGCTGTTGCTGTTGCTGTTGCTGCTGCTGTTGCTGTTGCTGCTGTTGCTGTTGCTGTTGCTGTTGCTGCTGTTGCTGTTGTTGTTGTTGTTGTTGTTGTTGTTGTTGTTGTTGTTGTTGTTGTTGTTGTTGGCGGTGGCGGTGGCGGTGGCGGTGGCGGTGGCGGTGGCGGTGGCGGCGCCGCCGCCGCCGCCGTCGTCGTCTTCGTCGTCGCTTCGTCGTCGTCGTGGTGGTGGTGGTGGTGGTGGTTGTTGTGGTGGTGGTGGTGGTCGTCGTCGTCGTCGTCTTCGTCGTCGCTTCGTCGTCGTCGTGGTGGTGGTGGTGGTGGTGGTGGTGGTGGTGGTGGTTGTGGTCGTGGTGGTGGTGGTGGTGGTTGTTGTTGTTGTGGTGGTGGTGGTTGTGGTTCTAGTGGTGGTGGTGGTGGTGGTGGTGGTGGTGGTGATGGTGGTGGTGGTTCTAGCAGTGGTGGTGGTTTTAGTGGTGGTGGTGGTTCTAGTGGTGGTGGTGGTTTTAGTGGTGGTGGTGGTGGTGGATGTGGTGGTGGTGGTGGTGCTTGTGGTTGTTGTCGGTTGTTGTGGTTGTGGTGGTTGCTGTGGCAGCGGCGGCGGCGGTCATCGTCGCCGTCGCTGTCAGCAGCGGCAATGGTAGTCGGGCTGAGTGTTGGGCAGTTACTCAAGTTGTTGCGATTGTGGTTTTTTTACCTTGTGGATGATGATGCAGGACACGCTGCCTGCTCGGCAGTGCTGTATATCAGGACAGAAGAATAAGTGCTTAGCCAAAACGTATCACGCTGCAGCCATGACGGAGCATTTGAAGCTGGGGATAAACCTCAATAGGTTAATCACGGATATGATGTTGTCCCCGCGCCTCCTGCCTCATGTAGCCTGGCACGGCGCTTTGAGAAGCAGGCCGGTTTAGCACAAGAGTCACATCTTATTTGGACGCTGAAATTGTCAAGACCAGGTAAAACACAGTAAGCAAGGTCAGCACTCGCGGACATATTAGTTGATGTGTGGGGGGGGGGTGGCTGTGGTAAAGTGTAACCCTGATGCAGGGCCTGTCCGCACTCATCGAGATCTTGGTCCTTGTGCCACATCCACAGGCCGAGTGAGACGCTGGCATTTTCCCGGCGGTTGTCGACCGGCAGTTCAGCATCAGCGGCCCCAAGTTTGGTCGCCTTCAAGACGGCCGCTGGCTTGGTGGGATTCCTGGGCTTTGACGCCTCAGTGCGATGGCTGCTGGACGCGTCTGGCATGCACATGTTGCCGCAGCAGATTTGCAGTATGCTCAGCGCCTTTGGCGGGCTCTCCCTGGCGCAGGCGGTGGCTCCAAGTGCCGCTGGCCAGCTCCACCAGATGTTGCTGCCGGCAGTTGCCTGGGTGGGACGATGGCTACCAGTGTTTCTGGTGCCCGTGCAAGTCATGCTGCCGACGATCAGCTTTCCAGGCCCAGAAGTCCAGGATTTAGACCTCATGTTGGTTTGGGTTGGAGTCCTTTTGGCAAGGTCTTTATGGGGCCGGGCGCATCTCAGAAGGCTCCCCTGCCTACGTTGTTCCCCGAGGCGGGCTCGTCGAGGCCGCGGGCCTCGGCGTGCTGTTGGGTGCAGGGTGGCTGGCCGCGGTGGCGGGCGGCGCCCGCTTGGCGGCGCGCCTCGCCGCCAGCGCGGCCTCCACCGCGGCGGCGCCGGCGGCGGCCGCGTCCGCGGCCAAGGCGCAGGGCCTGGCTTTGCCGGCGGCCTGGCTGACACTTGCCGCAGCAGCGATCGGGGTGGAGGCCCGGACCATTCTGGTTGTAGCTAGTTCGTTGCTATAGAGTCGAAGACCTCGCAGTTGATCAGTCTTCGATTGGAACTTCAGTAAGTCTTTATTTCTCACGTAAACTCCCACTTTTGTGCTTGCGCTTGTGTAGGTCCTACTACCCCCGCAGCCGGCCGTGCCGGACTTGGATCGCCAGCTGCGGGGCCTGGGGCTGGCGGCCCTGGGCGTGGGAAGCTTCGCCCTGGCCGTGCGCCGGGGTCTGCCGGGGCGCCTCGGTCACGGGCCGTTTGGCCACAGCCGGTTTTGACACTGCACCTTGCAAGGTTCAAGTAAGCAAGGAGCCATTGTTGTTAATCTGTCCCAGGAAAACCTAGCAAAGGACTTGAAAGGATCCATGTTAAAACATGTCGCAACAGCTTCCAGGCACCTTTGCTTCCTGGCGAACGGGTTCGCCACCATTTGCGGGGCCTTTGCCATGGCCTCCTACCGCGGGGAGAGCTACAGCCAGGTGGTGAAGCGCGCCCCGGCTCAGAGTGTTCGAAATGGTTTGCCTTTGGCTATGGCACTTGCATTGCCATCCGGTAGATTCTGACCCTTTGTGCCATTTGGCCCATGTCCAGGCCGTGTCCAGCCCATGTCCAGCCTCAGGAGACTACCTGGTGGGATCCTCTGGGCCTCCAGGCTCCGGAGATATGCTGCTTTGGTGTCGGGGCCTCAATGGGAGGCTTCCACTCCCGGGGCGGCGCAACTATTCAATTGTCAAGAGCAGGCGAGATTCTCACTGCAAGCAAGTAGCAACACATGAGCTTTTGTAGGAGCCGTACATGATTTGCATGCTGTTGCTGCTGCCGCGTTAAAGTACACATGTCCTCCATCTTCGGATGCACTGCGCGAAGGAAGGCATAAGTGGCGTAAGCCATATCAGACGCCTAGATTTTAGGGTTATGGGCTACAAGGCTCAAACACTTTGATATGCTGTGTCAGAAGGAGCTGTTGCTTTTCCAATTGGTCAAGTCGTTTGACCAGTTGGCACTTGATTTGCATGTCTCATTGCGAACCGTTAGTTCAACACCTTCATAACATGCAGGGACCAACCGACATGAACCTCAAGTGCAAGGCTCCCGAATCCAGCAAGCCGGGAGGTCAGAATTTGCCGAGAGCCATGCAGACTCTCCCAGTTGGCCCATTGGCCCCATTGGGTTCCCAGCCATCGAGCTAGCCGTGAGGCCTGGGTCCGGCTCTGGTGGCGACCGGGGTACAGATGTTTCAGTACCGCGCCAGCCTTGGACAGATTTTGCCTGGGAAATTGAAGGGCGAAGATCAAAAAGCAAACTGTGGAAATGATGTCCATGAAAGGGTCCCCAGTTTCTTGCTCATGCCCCAATTGAAACAGCTGAAAGTGCCTACTTTCATAAAGGCCGTTTCCGTGAAAAGCATGGATAAGTTGATGGCAGACGCATCAGCAATCCTTGTCTGAATCTGCAGCCCCTTCGCATCGTGGGGTTTCCCTTTATGGTGAATGCCACGCGCTGAGGTGCTCGCATCGTTGCGCTGAGCAGGGTGCTGTTCGTCACCTGCGCGGTAGCCCGGGTCTCAGGCAATAGACTCGCAGGCTTGAAGACAATTGGACAATTGGTTTGGGGTCCTCCATTTAGGTGTGCTTGGGAGGTCGTAACATCGTCATAGAGATAGTGGAAACCAAGGTGCTTGATTTGGCTGAGGGTGCAGAAGAGCCCGGCCTCTTGCGGAAACGGGCGTTAATGTATCAGCCAGGATAGCCAGGTGCTCTTGTGGTTTAATGGGACCCAGGCTTGGGCCCCAAGTCCCAAGCGTTTTGCCCCTCGTTTTGCGCGCTCGTTTCCGGCGCCATGGCGGCCAGGTGTCCTTGGGCAACATCTTGGGCACCGTGGCGGCGGGGCCGGCGCTGGGCGTGTCCCCTGAGGTGACCTTGGCAGCGACCATGAGGCGAGGCCAAAAGCGGGAAGTGTCCGTGGCCATGGCGCATCAAGAAACAGTCCCCCAAGGATCTGTTTTTTGGGCTCGCTCTGAAAAGGGACGCTCAGAGAGGACGTGCCAGGTCAACATTGCGTCACAAGTCAGGAACTTTGTCAGGTGCGTGACCATCCCGATGGCTCTGCCAACCTTCTCGCGGCTTTGTGAAGCCAGTGGGGCTGAGAACAACGTGGCCCTGGTGGCTCTATGTGCAGGAGCCCATTCAAAGCCAATGAATTCTGAACAAAACACAGATGCAGGCAACTCAGCTGATTTCTTGAAACAGCGCGCAGGAGTCTCCGGCTTTATTGGGCTGGGCCCTGAGGATTACTTGATGGGATGACCTGACGTGTTCTGGCAGACGGGATTGGGATTGGTTGTCATGTTTTGTTCGCGAGGTGTGGATTTGCGTATGCTTTGGTTTTGCGCTAAGGTGAGGTTGGTGATAATAGGAAGTCGTCTACAATAGTTGGCTATGTTGAAGCCACACACGAGATTGATTAGGGGCTTGTGTTCTGGCACTCAAACCCTTCAGCTGCACTAAGAGATTACAGCAAGTCTTGACTCGGACTTGACCCTCTTTGCATTATCGCCTTGGTCCGGAGTATCCTCCGTGATGAAACCTAGTGAGCATTCTATTTGCCTGAAAGGGAATTCAGGCAGGCAACGTCAGCATGTCAGCTACACCGGAGCTACTCACACCAGCTTAGCATGCGAGCATGGACGCACAGACATACGGAAGGGAACGTTGATTTCGAGCAGTCATAATTTTGCTCATACTGTCTAAAACAAAATAATCGGATTTAGCCCTTGCCAATCTGTGCAATGCATTGAGCTACTCAGGTTCGGGTTTTCTCAGAGGCTGCTCTCGTCAGCAGTATGTCAAGCACATGCCAATCCAGAGCCTTGTCCGCAAGAGGCACCGGTATGGACATTTGAACATGCTGTAATTCAACCCTCTTTCCAACAAGCATGCGAGCCTTGCTAGTGCTCAGAAAGCATTTCCTTTTTTAATGTCTAGAGACCGCAATGTGCGGGGGTCATGCAAGCCGCGGTAACCCCATTGAGGCCTAGGCAACAAATTCTCGAGAGCAAGAACACGCGGAGTTTGCATTTCTGGATGTTGAGCCCAACAACAGGCCCCGAACGCCTCCGACAACTGCATGTTCTTTTGCTTCCTCCTACTTTTGACACATACCCCAGTAAGCTCTCGCCATGGTAATTGGGGGGTATTTGGGGCTTGTCCTGCAACCATAGGGTTTTTGACGCACACCGGGTTTGCCTAACAAACATAGGGGAAACCCCATGGTGCTACGGGGTGATCCCCCATTCTTTTCGACCATCGTTTTTTGTCAACAAAGCAGCTGTTTTCCTGCAGTGTCCGGAGGTTTCCTAAGACGGCCTGGTTTCTCTGGCAATGGAATTGGGGACGGTAGCCCAATGGTTGGTTGGTTGGTTCCTGTTTCCCCAAACGAATTGGCTGGTTGGTTTGTCGTACTCCAGGTGGCCCGGGGCATCGCCACGGGCGCGGCGGCGCACGCCCTGGGGGCAGCGTGCCTGGTCACGGAGCCGGAGGCGATGGGTGGGTTTCCTTGAGGGTACCTTTGTGGGGTAACAGGAAACCAAAAGGAAACCCAAAGGAAGCAAAAAGGAAACCACTCGGAAACCACCCTTTCTGTTGGTTCATCAATTTTGAAACAGAACATATGGGAGTTTCTCAGAATGGTACTTTGGGTTGGTATTTAAAGGAAATGCTAAGAGGAGGCCACATTTGGGAGACCAGAAAGGCCAATGTGGGTGCCTCAATGCAAGCACTGCGATGATGGTAGTTGGAGTCAGTTGGGTTTTCAATTGACAAGTTGAGCTGAAGTACTGTCATCCACTTGTTCGCTCTCATGTGTGTTTCCTTCTTGATTTGGTACCATGAAGCCAGGTTCAGGACATCTTTTTGTGAGAGAGTTTTTTTGAGGTTCATTTCAATGCCATCAAAGAGAGGACTGGTGACTTTTGATTCTTGATGTACGTTCGATTGACTACTTGTTGGGGTGCGTGAATATGCAGGAGCCTCAAAATAAACATGGTTTCACACAGTTCGCACCCTACATGAAGGCGAAATGCCCGGCATCCAAATTGGTGGCCCCAAATTGGTTGGTCCCCCAAGAATAGCATTGCAAAGCCTTGTTCAAAATCAGTGACGCCTTGCAACTATTGTTGCATTCACAATTTGCTTCGTGGTCCCCCTCCAAACACGAGCGGAGTTACCATTTTTGTAATGGTTTTGTCAAAGCACTAACCTGGAGCCAACTAGTTCAATTCCTGATTTGTAGACAGTTCTACTAGACCAACCCTTTTGGGGGGGTATGGTGTCTAGTTTGCCTACGAGCCGCACGAACTACCCAAATTGCAATTTGATATTTGCGAGTTTCAAGGGAGATCAGTTACTGTACATTTTCCGTCGTTTACATCAGGGTTGCTCAAAGATACCATTTGACAAGCTTCCTCTCCAAGTTTGGCGCACATGTCCAGGGTTCAGCACGAAGTTGAACTGACTCTGCAAGAAGTGTTTTTTGCCGACAAATGCATGTGAAGCAGTGAGGCATTGCACCAGGGGAGTGCCGTGACTAACCTTCTAATCCACAACTGACATTGTTGCAGTGAGTCTATAGTTGATTCGGGCAGATTGTTGGGATCCCCAATCTTCTGTCAAGTGGGGAAGCAAGGAACTTGTCCCAGAGGCCTTCGTTTGGGGCATGCTGGCCATGGCCGTGTCGGGCGTGCCAGACTCAGCTGTGGCTTGCAAACCCTGACCTGTTCTATTCGTTCTTTTAAAAGAAACCAAGGGGAGACGGGTTTTGAGGGTGTACATGTTTTACATTTACACATTTATTATATGCAGCACTTTGGCATGGGCTCCCTTCCGGGCCTGGCGAGCATTTCGCCGCGAGGTCGCGTCGTCGGCTTGGATTTGTGCTTGCGCTCCTGTTCGCGACCTGGCCGTGTCTCTGGCATATCGGAATGCAAGCTCGGGGGCGCGTTGATGGGCGCGCCCTCAAGATCCTGCGAAAGCAGAGATGTACATAGAACATATCGGACGAGACACCGCGCCTTCAGATGAGGCGCGCGGCAACCTGCAAAGATCAAGGCCAAAGGGAGCGACCTGTGGCCATGAGCGGCATGTTGAGCGACGGGGTGAGGGCTCGGGTAAGCAGTGACTGTCCAAGCTTGTGTGTATGTGTGTGGGTGTGTGTGTGTGTGGGTGTGTGTGTGTGTGCGTGTGGGTGTGTGTGTGTGTGCGGTTGTCAAAGGGTCCCTGTTCTTCAGAGCATTTATCCGTTGCCAGTTCACCGATTTTCTGAAATGATACATTTGATTGTTTGGCTGAATTGATGCGTATGTGGCTGCTTCCTTGCTCAGTTCTATAGATCATGGATGTACATGACAAGGGCATTTCTCGTTGCAAGCAGCTCTGACACATGAACAACCTCTTGCAAATTCGAAGCCTTACACTCTTCACTTTCTACCGTTTGGTGTGCGAAGCCGAAAGCCCTTCCAATCGAAGCTGAGTCTCGCAGAGTATTTCTTCCATTTCTGTGGGAGGAGCGTTTTGCAGTTTCAGCCGCCATGGGCAGACTCGCCGGCGATGTGGCGGTTGTTTGCACGGCCCCCAGCGAACCCGAAGCTGGATTCGTGCTTGGTGATGGGGTAGGGGATGCTCAAATACGACATGCAGGGGTCCTTCTTTTTCTCCGATTTTCCCGAGCTAAAACGAGCAGTTTCATGAGCCGCGATCAGATTTCCAGGGACCCAGCGCTTTCCAGCGCTTTTGTCTCTCAGGTCGCAGCCATGTGCGCGCTGAGTGCAGCGTCTCGTCAGGACATTCAGATGTGGCGACAATGGGAGAGCCATGTGTTTGGGAAATGTGCGGCTGCAGTGCGCATGGCCAAGGATGCGTTGACAACCAACTCATCTACGGCGACCTCAACCACCTCCAGCACCACCTTTGTCACCAACACTTCTTCTTCGACCTTCACGTCAACCAGCAGCAGCAGCAGTAGCAGCCGTACCTGGACGACTTCCACATCCATCACTACTACAACGAGTTCAACCTTCACAACCACTTCTGGCAACTTCACATCAGGGACGGAGACCACTACCACTGGCACCAACACGAGCCAAACGACCACTTCAACAACGTCCATGTCCAATACAACAACGCCACCCGGCTCTAGTTTTTTTTCTCCTTTTATATTCTTTCTCCACAGTAGTTAGCCAGTGCAGAATCTTGCATAGCCGACCTTGTACTGGGTCAGGCTGTTTTCCATCAAGGGCTTGGTATGATTGTGCACCTGATTCCAAATGAGGGGCACTTCCACAACCACCATGACAACCACTACCAATTCAACCACGACTACATCCACAACAAGCACGGAGGCAGTTAATCATGCGAGCAAGATAGATGGTAGGGATGGTCATGAATCCCTCAAATGAGGTGGATAATGACCCCCAGAATCTCTGGCGGACTCAGTTTGTCGCCCCAAGGGCAGGATGAGTTTCGTCTGTGTCGCGTCGCATGTCAGATCTTCCTCCTGACCATTGAGGCGGCAGTGCTTTCCCCTTCGGAGCTGGTAGTTGTATTCAACTACCCAGCCAGGCGATGGTTGGTGAAATGCCAGCAATGCGGCTGCTGCTTTTCTCCTTTCAGTCTTGTCGGAAAACCAATGCTGGGGCACAGGCAAGGAATTGCCCAGGGAAAACATTTTTGTGGCAGGATAGCGGAGCCTGAGAACACTACCTGGAGCTGTCCTGATCTCTGGGAAGAGGAGACGGATCCTTGAATTGGTTTGAGGTTTGTAAAGAGGTAACCTCACCATTGTGCGGTAGCACCTCCAGGGCACATGGAGACAACTTGGGCACCTCACCCTTGTATTGCATGCGTGTCTCAAAATATCGGACCTTTTTTAGATCGCCTTGGAAGGGAACATCAAGCAGTTCTGAGACATACCTCACTCCCAATTATACGAAGGCCATTTGGGAAAACTCATGCCGGCAACGTTGGCATGCACCAGCGGGAGCATCAAACATGGCTATGGCTCCTTTGAGTTGGGCGAGCAAGCAGCACATGGTGAGACCCGAGGCTGAAAGTTTTGGCATCGGAGCAACCTGCTTGCCTTCAGACGATAAACTGCTTCTGCAGGCCGGAGGGTGTAACGAGCTAGCTCGATGCGGAACGCCCTAAAGTCCAGTTGTTTTCTGCCCACGACAACCGCCAAGACAGGGTTGCGCAGAGTTCCTGGTGTGGTTTCATGTTTTTGTCGGCAAAAACACCTGGCCTTGAGGTGACCTTGGGCCAGTGGCCGCGGGTGCAAGTGGGCCACCTGGCTGTCATGAAGTTCGGCGTTCTGCTGCCGGACGTGATCGTCTTCGAGCCCACGGAGCTCTCTGCGGTGATCACAACCACCACGCCTCAGGCAGGGATGCGACTTGGGCACACCGCCACAATAAGAACAAGGAGATGATAAGGGAAGCGCCTACATCAAAACATGAATGAGTGATGTTGACCCAGATGGCGACCATGTACATGTTTTCTTTTTCTTTTCATTTTTTGACTTCGCTTTTGCTACTTCGTCTTATTACTCCTTTCCTTCATTTGCTGCTTTTTCTTCTTCTTTATCTTCGTCTTCTTGTTCTTCTTCTTGCTCTTGTTGGTATTTGTTGCTTTTGTTACTCGTTGTTGCCTCGTCTTACTTCTTTTTGATTTGCCCCACCTCTTTTGAAGCTGCAGATGTTCTAACTTCAAGTTTGAATTCGGCGGACGTTCCCTTATTTGAACACGCTTTTGCTCACATGATGAAACACTAAGCCATGTTTGCCCGAAGACAACACGAGGGCCCTAAACCTGTGTTTGGCCTAAACCGGAAGCCCCAACCCAACCGTGTTGATGCGGAACCAAAACCTGAAGCTGTCTGACCCTGAAACAAACCCGTATCCAAAACCTAAACCAAAACCCTCAAACCTAAGCCCGAAAATGTGCTCGCCCTGAACCTAAACCCTAAGCCCCCAACCGTGTTGACCCTAAAAATTGCATCGAAACCTAAGCCCTCAATACGGTTTTGACCCCAAAGCCTGAGCCACAATGCAGACCCTAAACCGTGAGGACCCTAAGCGCTAGACCCCAAACCCTAAACCACAATCTAAGCCCTAAAAACCCTGACCCCCGAGCCGAGATCCAAATGCTGAACCCCACGCCGAGGTGACCCCGAACCTTAATTCTAACCCCCAAACAAGAACCTAAACCCTAAACCATGGCGCCCCGAAACTCTAAACCAAAGCCGAAATCCTAAAACCATGTTGACCCTAGCTGGTGCGTGCCCGTGTGCCCGTGTGCCTGGGTGTTCGCGTGCCCGTGTTGGTTCCCGTGTTCCAGTGCTCCTGTGTGCCTGACCCGTGTTGGTGCGTGGTGGGTGCCAGTGTGGCTGGCGAAGCATCCCCGTGCACGCTGACCCGGAATACACAACCCTAGGCTGTCTGCTCGAAAATGAGCCCCTGGCAAGCGTTCGAAAATGAATCCAGCGCATGCGTTCGAAAATGAGCCACAGCTTGTGTTCGAAATTGATCCCCCCCTGCTCAGGTGCCTTTACGCGGCGATCTTGCAGCCCCGGATGCGGTGCAGCCGTGCTCGACGGTTCGGTTCTCTCTGGGGGCATCCACGGGCTTCGCCGGGAGCGCCTTGGATGCGAGCTTTGGTTCAGTTTGCCCCTTGACGCTTTTCGCCTTTCGCAGGCAGGTTTGAGTTTTGCGTGGTCCAGGAACGCCCGTGATCGAGTGGCAGTTGGGGAATGGCACGGATCCCGCGCTGGCAGCGATCCTGCAACCCACGTTGGACGAAGCCACTAGCCAGGTGAAGCAAGTGCTCGAGATCCCGCCGGACATCTTCTACGAAGCAGTCTCGGCGAGCACACCACAGGCCAGCGGTCTGGTTGTTTGTCGTCTCGATCCTTGAAGAGTTCTGTCCCGAACCATTGGACCGATGTCGGTGCACTCTGAAGGCGGGCGCCTCATGACTAGTCAGCTTCACTTGTTCAGGATGATGTCAGCAACGAAACGGAGAAGGAAGTGGACCTTGACGTCGTAGTGGTGAGCACTATCAGCAATTGGCTTGGACAGTCCGAGGAGCTGAGTGCAGTGGTCAATGTTTCATGGCCACAAGGACAGTCAACTTTTGTACGCATAGGGTGCGATATGTATGCACCCTGAGCCGATAAAGATCCCATTTTTTTACCGGGGAGGTTTGGCCATTTGTTTTGACTGCATTCTAGGTGCTGAATGTGGATACACAGCTTCCGCAGATAATGCCAGCCACGCGGAAAGAAGTTGATGTCTTCAGCTATGAAGAGCTGGAGATTGCAGTGGATTTTGCGCCAGCCGTCAGCATATCTCGCTGCATCGTAAATGCCACAGACGATCCAAGCGGAGAGATCGACATCCAATGGGAGTACAGAAGGATAGACGACCGCGCCTGCGATGCACCTGATGTGATAGAAAACATCTCCGACACCAACGGATCCAACAGCTCCAACGACTCGAATGAGACCAACGAGACCTGGGACAACAGCTCCAACAGTTCCAACAGCTCCAATGCCTCTTGGCTCGTGCCGGTGTCCCCGTGCCTGGCGCAGCTGTGGCGAGGCTTCAACCGGACGGGGCTGGTGGACAAAAGCCCGCGCCCAGGGAAGCTGCACTTTGGAGCCTTCAGCTTCCAGCCGGAGACGCGGCACCAGTTCCGGGCCAGCGCCGGGCTGCAGGCGAAGCGATGGTCCGGGCTGCAGGGGCTATGGTTGAGGTGCTTCAGGTGGTTCTGGTTGGGGGCCCAGAAGCGGAGTGGAGCCCATGTGGGCAGAGTGCTAGTTAGGTGGTGAAGGTTTTTAATGCCATGCCGAAGTACCACCATGGAAAAGCTAGGCCCCAGGCCCCTTGCAGCTTGAGAGTATTGGTGATGTTGCGTCTCAGCTCCAAATGCATTGGTTCTTGATGTTAACATAACTACCAAAGGCGAGGTTTGGCGTTTGTCTTTGATGAGAGCCTCAGCTAAGCTGACGCGTCTTTGCGGTGCCTGTAACTCGGCAGGGCTATGTCGGCGAAAAGCCCACGGTCGTTTTCACCGTCAACGTTTTGCCTCGGACAAGGCGGGCCCACTTAGTCTCAGAAGCTGGACTTTTGCAAAGGGCTTGGGTGACCCTGTTGGGGCCCTCGCAGACACTGTCATTCAAACTGGGCCGTTGAAAGACATGGGGGGCTCTTGGAGCGTGAAACCATCTACTTCCGAAGCTTGGAGGTAGCATGCCAGGTGTTGGCATGCACATCGGTCCTTGGAGCACCTTGCTAGATTCCCAGGCCTACGGCGGTGATTTCTGGTCCAACTCGAGTGTCTGCAGTCTGTGGGTTCAACCTCAGCGCTGCTGATTCATACGATGCGCCTTGGCTTGCTATTTGGCAACAGAGCCATGGAGAGCCAGGCTGTCATTCCGTGCCTTGCTTTGAGGCCTCAGCTCGTGTGCAACCTTCAACGGAGCTGGAGTATTTCTGGTCCTGTGTGGAGGGTGACTTCTTTGAGAACGCCACTGACATGGGCATGTCGTGCGACAACATGACCGAAGATTGGAGCGACTCCCCAGAGCTTCACTTGGAATCCGGTTTCCTGGCTGAGGGCAGCCACACGTTCACGCTTCAGGTGCGCCGGCGAGGTGAGGAGGCTGTCAGCGAAGCGATGCACGTAGTCCATGTGAGTAGCCACCCTCAGCCTTTGGTAGTGCTGAAGGTGCCATGGACCTTTGGTGGGCCTGTTTCAGTTGCAAGGCATTCTGGTCTGGTCCGGGCTCTCGTAAGTGACTCTTGTCTGATTCCAAACTGGAATTGGCAGTGGGTTCTCACCAGAAACGATGTCGTGCTGGCATTGCTGAATACTTCGGTGTTGGAGCACCTTGGCCAACAGAGGTCATGTCCAGCTTGGCGGGGGTGGCATGTGAGGCCGTGAGGGTCCACGATTGTAGCCTCAGTTGAAGGAATGGATTGCTCTGCAGCCAAGGCAACCTCTTTCTGCTGGCCAGGAAGTTGTGACTTCTGAGTTTCGAGGCGATTTGCTGGTGCCAGGCTGGTCCTACGAGTATCTCGGCTAAGTTTCTGTAATTACCTTGAGCAGTCAATTGATCACATCGTCAGGCACTGAGAATCTTTCACAAGGGGAGGCCCCCTCATCCTGGCGATTTTCAAAAGCGGGGGTCAACACAATTTGATCTGGCACAGCTAACTCAAGCTAGCAGCGCGTGTGTTGTGTGTTTGCCAGCTATGATTGAGTCAGATGCTTGTAGAAACCAATCTCTCTTAAACACACACCTCTATTGTTGCTCCAGGGCATCGCCGTGTCTTGCTGCGGCTTTGGTGCCTAGTTCACCATCATGTGGGCCGGCCAGCTGCTGGGGTGCTCACTCCCAGCGCTCCGGTTCCAAAAGGCACGTGGTAGAAGTCTGGAGGATGAAGTGGTGCCGCCCGCAACAAAGTCGCACCACGAAGCAGGCACAAACTCAGTTTGGAGCCCCGGCCTGGCCCAGCTACAACCACACCACTGTGGCCACAGCACAACTACCAGTTCTATTGCCGCATAGCGGATTGGTGACATTGACATCCTTGGTGGCAGTAGCCATTGTGGTGCCAATCGTGGCAATGGGAGCCGCAATGGCAACAATTCGAACAACGCAGCTAACAATACCGGCAATAGCCACCGTATCAAGCAGCAACAGTAAGTAGCGTGGCAGAGGTGATCATGATAGCGGTGGTGATGGTAGCAGTCCTTTTTATGTCCAGCTCCCTGTTGCTGTCCGTGTTGCTGTCGGTGTTGTTGAGGCTGTCTTGGCTGTTGTTGCTGCCGCGCTGCCGCTTTGACGTTCTCGTTGCGGTTGTGCTGTGCTTGCTGCTGCTGCTGCTGCTGCTGCTGCTGCTGCTGCTGCTGCTGCTGCTGCTGCTGCTGCTGCTGCTGCTGCTGCTGCTGCTGCTGCTGCTGCTGCTGCTGCTGCTGCTGCTGCTGCTGCTGCTGCTGCTGCTGCTGCTGCTGCTGTGTTGCCAAGGGCAGGGGCAAAGGCCGGGAATAGCGGTAAGAACAAAGCAGTCACCAGCTCGAGCGTCCATGAGGCCCGAATAATTAGAGGTTTTGTCAGAGGCCATTCTGATTTCCCTCATGATTTCTTCTGTATTTTCTCTTGGTTTCTTCAGGTATGCGCTGGTGGGCCTGTCGAACGACACCGCCAAGCGCTTTGCGCCCGGGTGGTACCTCGCGGCGCTGGAGGCGATGTCCGGGTCGGCGGTGGCGGCGACCTCCGTGCCCTTCCTGGCAGACGGGGTGCCCAGCGAAGGGATCCTGGAGCTGGCGCCCAGGCGCGAGTTTTGGGGACGGTTGTTCCCTTCCAAAAGGAGCACCCTCAAAAGGAAGATTTCAACCAAATGGAGGAAACCAAGCCTTTCGGGACACAATTTTGAGAAAACACCCAAATTTGGGCTGGACTGCTTGTTCTTTTTGTGAAAGAGAGACCAAAGGGGGCTTGAGGTATCACATGTTTCTTTGGCTTGACCAGAGCAAAGGATAGGCGCAGCGTGTCCCATGAACTTGTCCAATGCAAGTACTGCAAATGGCGCAGGTCAGGGCCAGCTCTGGGCCGGTTTTCCATGCAGACCTATGGGTGGCACGATGAGGTGGGGATCGTGTGTTGTCTGCTGGGAGGTCTCAGAAGCTGTTGGGCAATGAATGCGTCCGCCTTCCTCATGTTACGCCATGTCTCAACCGCCCCTTCTCATTCCCTGTTGTTCATTGGTGCACACGAGCCCATTTTGTTTGTACAGGGATGGATGCCCATTCATTTCCTTTGTCAGGGTTGACAGACCGCGACAACGTATCCTTACATCGGTGGGTGACCTGGCAGGTTCTTCAGATTCGGCAACAAGCAAATGGGGCGTTTTACTTTTTTAGTTTCCGTGAACCTTGTTGTATGCAACAGGAAGAGGCCAGTCTCAGCTACTCCTTTGTCCGCTTCCCGGCGGACACGGGAGATGCGTGGGCGGATGACACTTGGGTAGCGCCGAAGATGGACTGGAAGAACTCCTCCAGCGAGAGGCGGGGTCCGGCGTTTTTCTTTTTTGGTTTTTGGGAACCCCAATTTCTGTTGGGAGCCAGAAGCAGAGCAGAAACCCAATCATTTTGGGGCCCATGTCCTAAATTTTGAGAGAGCATTCCAGGTATTTCCGGAAGCTGGGCGGCTTGACGCTTCAGCACTGGGTCCCGGGCTTGGTCAGATTGGTGTGTGTGTGTGTGTGTGCTGTCGGGGGGCAAGAAGGAAGGAGGGTGATAAAGGCCGGGGGTGGTCAATTGAATCCAGGCACCCCACAGATGGCTGGCCTGTCTTTGCTTCCCCTCAAAGATGAAGCAAAAAGGAGGTCCCCATTCGCTTGCCCCTTACATTCTGTGAAGTGCTTTCCAGGACTCCAGCAGTGTGCTGGCTGACGTGGTCATGGCACCTGGCACCTTTTTCATCGTGGTTCGAGTCCGAGATCGGTTGGGGGGTGAGGCGGGCTCGGCCAAACACTTGTCACAGTTGCCATTTCGTTCGCCATCGGCACTGCGTAACCAGCCGCGAACCTGGTCCACAAGCGGTCCCTTTTTTGACCACTTTTGCCTTTGGGGGCAGAGACAAATTTGAGGAAGAAAACGAGAGCCCGCCGCAGCTTCAGCGCTGGTAGTTTCTGTCTCGTGCCTAGCCGCCTAGCCATGGACGCGGATGCCAAGGCAGCCCCCAGGCCCGCGGATGTGAAGCCGGTGAAGGTCTCCAAGCCCCGCCTGGATTGCATCGATGGGTGCCGCTTTGCGCTGGTCTTCCCCATCGTGGTGGCGCACTTCGCCAGGTTTGGCACCAAGAACCTCACCATGCTGAAGCTGCTGACCCAGGAGAACGTGTTGGTCGGAGGCTTCTTTGTCATCTCTGGATATGTCTCAGCATATACCTCCACCAAGCTCGGAGCCAAAGGAGTTGAGGAGAAGAAAGTGGCCAACCCTGAGCTCTTCTTTTGGCAGAGAGTCATGGCCTACTATCCCTTGCATTTCGTCAGCTCTGCCATCTTCGCACCCATGTTCATTTGGGCTGAGAGGCAATTCAACGCAACTTGGAGAATGATTGCCTTTCGGGCCTTCTTGAACTTCAGCATGCTGCAGGCCTGGTTCCCAAAGGAGGCCGAGATTTGGAACCAGCCGACTTGGTTCTTGTCGGCGCTTACCTTCTCGAATGTCACCATGCCAACCTTTGTGCTGCCACAAGTTGCGGCGCTGTCCAAGACTGGCTTGCGCAAGCTGTTTGCAGCCCTGACTGGCATCTCGCTGCTGCAGAAGGTGTCGTACTCGGAAACCGCCCGATTCCACAGTAGCAAGGAGCACCCAGTTGATGGCAAGGTCATGATGCCACTGATGTGGAACCTCACCCGATTCCATCCATTCTGGGCATTGATGGAGATGACCATGGGCATCGTCGCCTGCCGTGATGTGATGCTGGACACGGAGGAGGATAAGAAGAAAAAGCCGGCGAATCCACTGTGGCTATTCCTGGCAGCATATGCCTCACTGGGACTACGCCTCACGAAGTTCGACTTCAACGATGCCATCATCCGGGGAGTGCTCTTCGTCCCTCTCTTCACCAAGTTCCTCACGGCCATGCACAGGGACGCCTTGTCGCCGAGCCCATCCTCGATCACGCGCTTCTTCGGGTGCAAGCCGATGGCCACGCTCGGCTCCATCGCGTTCCCCATGTTCATCGTGCACGGCCCCATCGGGCAGATCTTCTACAAGAAGGTGCTGGCCAGGAAGATTTGGGGCGCGCCGATGCCAACGGGTTTCTTCCCCGTCTATCTTGCCATTTGCCTTGGGCTCAGCCACCTCGTGAACGAGTACTTTGTGAAGAGCAAGAAGGTGGCAGCCGTGGGAGGGAAGGTGGCTCAAGTCTTGGCGAGGTGGACAGAGGGCATGCTGCGCGACAGCGCCTAATTGAGTAGCACGCTTCGGGCGTTTCGACGCTCGAAGTTCACTGACTTGCACCAAAGGGTCGAGGAACAGAGTTCTGATGCTCACCCTTTGATGCTTTTGCACCGACTCCTGGTGTGTGTTCGTCCCAGCGACAGAAAGCGCTACAGGGGTTGTGTATAGATCAATTGTTCCATCGCATTGACTGTGGATTCCATAGGATTCCGCAGCAAGGAAGTGTGCAAAAGAAGGATCTTGGGATTTAGCAAAAACGAGAAGGTGCTCACCTGCAATAAATGGGTGCTCATGGGATTGTCGGGTGCGGTCAATCCCGGTGGGGTCCAAATTAGGACGCTCTTAAATCTGCACTCTCTGGCTTTGGACCTGATCCTTGCGGGCCAGTTTGAATTGGTTTTCTCTTTGGGGAGGTGCATTTGGGTTGGACATCTACGGAACCTAGGCTGGTTTTCAGGTTGTTTTTTTGGGGGAGAGTGGGGGTTCGGCAGAACGACTCAGAGCACCAGGCGAGCGCAGCCGTCCTGGGCCCCGTGGTGGCCTCGGAGGATGTGGCGCTGCAGGAGGTCGCGGATGCTTTGGAGGCCGCGGCAAATGGGGAATGTGCGCAGTGCATTTTTGCACACCCCCTGCACTAAATTTGCTAGGTTTGAGAACCCCCTGAGTTCAGCAATTTGAAAAAGCAAAAGGGAGCACACACAAACACACACTCCAGTGCCACAAATCGAGCCCTTTCGAACAGGCTTGAGCCGGGATCAACAACATTGCCGGTAATGGTGAGAAGAGCCTGATGTTAGTTTTGCAATGCTCATTTAAGACTGTGAGGGTGGCGCGTTGGATTTGGCTGCTTTCGGAGGTGTGATTTTTGTGGGTTGCGGATGCCGGCGGCGCAGGCAAGCTTCACCTCCAGGGATGCCGATCGTATTCTGAACACGGTGGACGCTGTTCTGCTCTCGTCCAGAGGTTCTGCGCTGTTCACAGAGCCTCTGCTGGGTGCCTTGGAGGCGCGCGTCCGTCAGAAAGGTTTCGATCGGAGCCCAAGGCCCCAAGGAACCTGCGACCCCGCGGAGAGAGAAAGCCAGGTGGCGCGTCAAAACTGGGGATGGTTTCAGGGAGAAGTCCCGTCGCCTCAATGGACATGGACAAATTGGAACGCCTGCCCCAGTTTTGTCAATAATCAGTGAGGAGTATGGGAATGCACCTCTTCACCAGTTTGCACAACATCGGAGTTGTGGATGTTGCTCTGAGAGTTCTTTTCCAAAGTCTACCCCCTTTGTTGAGAGGCTGTGAGCATCAGTGGTGGAAATTGAGTGGCGGGCGGATTTCAGGTGTACGTCTTGGTCCAAAACGTGGCATTGTCTGCGAGACAGCGTACATCCGCAGGTCGCCCTGGGCATCATGGAGCCCAGCGCGGATGGCTTGGAGAAGATGGGGCAGGTGGTGGCGTCCCTGGTGGGTGGCTCTGGCGGCGCCCGGTCCGGCGCGCCTCAGGTGTGGGGTTTGGCGATGCGGGGGCTAGGATAAGACACCAAACGCAGAAAGAGAAGCCAGCCGGAAACACGCGTGAAGAACGGCCGAGACGGGCCGGACACTTGGTGCATTCGAATTCAGGTGGTGAACAAGTCGCAGCTGTCGCGTGCGGCGGACCTCCTACAGAGCTGCGTGGGCCTTGCGGCGGTGCAACCTGCCGGGCTGAGCGATGCGGTGGCGGTGTCCGTGTTGGAGGCAGGTGCCGGTCCCACCTGAAACAGCAAGTTGTGGAAAACAACAAGTCCCACCTGAATGGCTCAGCCCCACCCAAAATGATGTTTCCTCTTGGTGCCGCCGCCGCTCTCCCCCCCCCATTTGCTTGAGAGATACCAAAACAAGGCACACGTCCGAATGACGGACCACCACCTCTTTTTGATGCCCAACAGTTTTGTCCATCTAATTACATGTCGTGAGTCAAACAGGGCTTGCCCCAAATGTTGTTAGAGTCCAGCTGAGGCCCTGTCGGGCGTGAACGACGGGAACCGTCTGGGCGACAACACCACGGGGGATACGAGTGAAGCCGTGAACTTCACAGGTCGAGTGGAGGCGCTCGCGGATGTCGTTGCACAGGGCCTCCTCTCCAGGCTGCACCTTGGCGAGTCCCTGAGCCTCAGCGGCGTTTTTGAAGGCAGCGGGCTGTCTTTGCAGGTCTCCTGGAGGAATCCCTTGACGGTGCCGGCCACAGGCTTTGACTATGGGGACCTCCTGCTGCCCGCAAGTCTCTTCCAAAATGAGTTTGGGCGTCGCTTGCAGGACATGACTTGCACAAGCTTGGTTGCAAAGGCAACTTACTGGCACAGAAGCAACCCGTACACCTGGGCAGACCCCATGAAGGGCGTCAACCAGTATGTCTTTGCCAACGGGACAGTAGCAGATATGGAGCTCAGCCTCTGTGGGTCTCCGTTCTTCTTCAATGAGACGGAGCCTGAAAGGGCCATGCGCGTGAGGCAGGCAAATTGTTTGGAACCCCCGCACAAGTTGCGAGCGAACAAGGATGTTTTGAAATTGACCATGACCATGATTTCTGGCTGGATGCGTAAAGTATGCGTTGGAATCTTGAGCACTTTCTGAGGACGTTTTAATGCGTGTTTCAAAACTGGGGACCTAGCAAGGTTTGTTCCTGGCTTGCTTTAATATTTAAGGCCATCCAAAATGGGAGTTCATGATTCAGGTGATGTCCCGTCAGGACCGTCTGGTTGCCTCCGCAGCCGCCTCCCCCGCCTGGCTTCCGAATGGAAGTGGCATGCGCTAGGCCGGGGATAGGCACTGAAACTGAGAACCCAGCACTGCCATCGCTTGCAAACTGGATGAATCCTGGGGCATGGGCAAACAAGCTCTTTGCCTACAGGTTTGTGGGGACCGTTTGTGGTGACGCTGGTTCATCATGCTGAACCCTTGCCTTTCCCCAGGTGGTCCGTCGCGGACCAAGCCTGGCTCATGACGGGCGTGGAAGTGGAGCGACCCGTGTACTGGGATGCAGTGGACGTCACCTGCATCGCTTACGTTGGAGCTGCAGCGTACACGGCAGCCTGGCTGTCCGGTGGCCCCCGACCCCTTTGCAAGTCGATCTAGATCAAACTGCCAACACAGGGCACGCAACCCTCCCCTCGTTTTGAAGGGGCCCTTTGGTTTTTCATTTAGTTAGCTCTTGCCGCTCCAGTTGGATAGTCGATTCTGCTCTACAGTGGGTGAGTCAGGCATTGTACATCCCCGTAGAGGTTACAACCTCCACGACCACAGAGCAGTGGACGCATCCCACTTACACGACCTTCGAGGTGCCGCCTTTGCCGCCGGTGTATATTGTCTCCTGCAATGAGTCTTTGCTGCCACCAGACCCTGGCCAGGGCTGGAACTGCACGAAACCTGGAGAGGGCCAGGAGTGCCGATCTGCTTGCAAAGGCTACCCGGATATGATGACCAGCATGACCTGCTTGAAAGGCTCCGATTCCTTGGAGTGGTTCGTGACAAACATCTGCCCGGATTTCTTCACCACCACGCTGGATGTAACTGTGAAGGTGCCTTCGGAGGATGTTGTCTTGGGTATGGTGCTTATCTTTCTGTGGATCCTGATGTTCACCTGCAGTGCTGCAATACTCGCGCTCTTTGCCTACGGCGTATACAAGTTCGTCATGTACGAGCGGCCTAAGCCTACCTCGCGGGCGAGAATTGCGCCCTTGGAGCAGGCGGAGGAGGATCAGGTGCCAGCTTGGGGCTGATTATTTGAGCACAGCAGTTTCCCTCGTCTCAACAAGAGAAGCGAAACTGATATTTCTGTTTTTGGTTGAAAGCAGATAACCACATTTTTTTGTCAGTGGTCCAGTCTTGTGACACTGTCTGTAAAAGCAACTTACGAGCTCAAATCAGAGTCTTTGCAAATTCAACAACCGCCAAGTGTAAAGAAGTCCACCTAAAGTCGTGAGGAACCGAACTAAGTCGTGCAGGCAATCAAGTTGACATGGGGCGGGGGATCGCACCTACTTTGGGTGGACGAAATCCTGCACCAAGAAACCCTAGAATGATGGTTTCCCCCCGTAAATACCAAGAAACCATGGTTTCAATCCCATGGTTTCTTAGGTGCGAGCGGATTTCGTCCGTCCACAGAGATCTTTTCCCCGTTGACCCGTGAGGTGGATCCGGCCTTCGTGGCCTGGGCACGAAGCTGGGCGGCCAGCCCGGCGGTGTCCTCGGCTGTGCTGGAAGCCAAGGCGAGGAGCTTTGAAGCGACCCAAAACCTGAGGGCGGGTGCCCCCAAAATGGGCCTCTGTTTTTGCCGGGATTTATTTTTCATGGTGGGGGACTTCGACCGCAGGTGCCCAGAGTTTCTTTGGCCTTTGGGAGCACACTGTGTTAGTTTGGCGGAAGAATGGGGAAGCGTTTGACAACACTGGACGGGTTTCAGACAGTCAGTCCCGGTGCAGTGGACTAAGGCAGCCAAGCAAAAACGGGCGGCACATGGCTCAGTTTTTGAACCCGCAGCACGAGCAAAGAGCCAACCGCACGTTCATTGGCAGGGCTCGTGGCAATCTTGGAAGGACGTCAAGCCACGGCTCATGTAGTCCCTTTTGACTCTTGTTTGACAAGGGATATATCTCAGGTTGCGATACTCGGTAGGTTTGCACTGATCCCAGCACAAAGGCACAACGAGAAGTGTCGAGAGTGAGGTTCTGATTGCATCCGACGCACTTCAACTTGCTACACCTCGGCATGGTACTTGGTTTGGTAAGAACGCACTGGGCTTTTGCATTCAACAACCTGTGCGAAGTCTCAAGCTGGCCTTTTCTTGAGCCATGTCAAAGCAAGGCGGCCGACTCTTATGGGTTTCCTTTGTTTAGATGCCCCTGAGCGGACTATATCAATCTGGCCGAGCTTGCATCGCATGGCAAGAGCGGCGTAGCATCCTATAACTCTGCCAGAATGAAATTAGGATCAGCATGAGTACAAATAAGCCAATCATAAACTGTCGGACATCTTAGAGGCAACATCTTGCTCTCACTTGCATCGCCTCATGGGGACGGGCACAGCGACTCCACAAGCAAGCAAGCAGCACCCTGAAAGTGAAAATGCCCAGCAGGCGGAGAAGAGTCTGGCATCAGCGTCCCAAGAGTCTTTGACGGATGCCGCTCAGATGCGAGTAGTCTTCGGCACTGGCTGTCGCTACTAGCGCAGCTACAGAGGAGTTGAATTTTATGTGAGCCCTAGATCAATGGCCGGCATTCCCAGGCAGCAGCCACAAAAGCTCCTTGGCTTGCATAAGGGAAACCAGGAGTAATTGGATCAGCAAAACTTGCAACGCCTTTTAACGAGGTTGTTTGGGAGTCCCAAAGGAACCCACCGTCTTTTGCTTCGGTGATTCAGCGAGAATTGAAAGTGCCGCTGATCTATGAGAGGTATCTGCCTTCACTGAGACCGCTGGGGCCTGAGGGGCTCGCCGAGCAACATCGGGATCGTGGCAGGATGCGGTTGATTCAGTTGCAGTATTGGGGGAATTCAACCCCCAACTGGTTCCCAATTAGTGACGTTTCCAAATGCCTGAGGTGGAGCTGCACTTGTCATAGTCATGACAAGCCTGGTGTTTTCGACAGTTCCAGGTCTGGTTCCAATTCCTGAGGTGGTGCTGGAGTACAGCGACGATTGGAGGGAAGAAGTGGACAAGATGCTGAAGTCGCGTGAGATTCCCAGGGAAGGGGAAGGCCGGTTTCTCGTACTGCAGGAGTTTCGTGTCAGAGTGTAGGCCGGAGTTGGACACCACAGCACAGTTGCTCTGATTTTATCAGTGGATGAGTGGAACAATAGTACTTGCTAGTTATGAAAGTACGCATTAGGACACCGGCCATGTTTGGCAAACCGCATTTCTCATGGACCATGGCTCAGCTGCGGTTGCCTTTTCTCTTCCATTTTAGAAGGGGTGAGACGCGGGGAGGCCGGCTCTACTATGTGGTGAATACCGTTCGGGAAATCCTGCAGACGAAAGATATTGAGACGCTGCACCGCGTGAACTTCCCACTGACCATCAACCTGCAGGTGAGGTTGACTCGGATGGCAACACACACACACGGCTCAAGGGGAGGTTTTGATGAGTTGCGCGTAGCGAATCGACCTTGGACCTTTTGTGGGCCTCGAACTTGATCTCACGTCTCATGAAGAAAACAACGATTGAGAGAAGGCCCTTTGAAAGCAAATTCCATGCAAGCCATGAGTTTGCTCTTCGGTCAACGGTAGGTGTCCTACTTAGACAAACGCTGGCCAAGAAGAGTTGCCACCTCAGCACCCTTCCAAACTCACTTTCCTCCTTGTAGGAGCGAAGGTGGGAGGTCCTTTTGGTCCCGGGCACCTTTAGAGGCGGCGCACTATGCAACTCATTTTAGGTTGGCGGATTCTAGAGGGATGGCGATAGAGGGATCAAGGGGGTTTCAGTCTCAATTAATTCAGTGAATGTCTGTTGACTCCTCTTTCCTTTTCCGGAAGATACAGGAGAGTCCTCCGCGAGTGCTGGAAAAGTCGGAAGCGTTCTATGCCTGGCAGGCCTGGAGCGAATTGGAGGGTTACACAGCGGCCCGTTTTGAGGGCTGGTCCGCGGAACACAGGGTTCCACATGAACGAGATCCAGAACGGGCTCAGGAATGGAAGTAACTGACAGGCGACCCAACCCACTGCGCATAAAGCGAGGGGTTCATTCTTTGTCCTTTCAATCACCGAACAATCCCTTCCCAGGTGGAGTGGATCGCGCTCACGGCGGGCCAGGAACCAGCGCAAAAAGCCGAGGCGGGCGAGCCCTAGAGTTCCAAGGGTGGAAAAGGGTTGCTAAGGGTTCCCTGAGAGCCGTTGGCCCGCCGCACGCATTCAAGGGTTCTAAAGAGGTAGCATTTGGAACAATCTTGGTACGACAAGTCACAATGAGTGACCAGGTTTCATGCCTCTCAGGCGGAGATCATAGCTGCACCAGAGGAGGAGGAGACTGGTATGGACCACCTGCTGGATGAGGGGCAGAAGCAGCACGACGACTTGATGCAGAAGTGGAAACAGCATGGCGATCAGAAGTTGAGAAAGGTGGCTGACCAGCCGGAAGGAGACTATTTTTTCTTCTTTTTTGTTCCAAAGGGACGTTAGAATGCGGGCGAGTCATTCTCTCAGGGGAGCCAACCATCGAAGATTGGCCATGGCCTATGTCCTTGGCCAACTTGGGCAAATATGTTCCAGGTTCAAGCCCCCCCCAAACCCCCCCCCCCTCCCCTACCCTCCAGTATTGGGGTTCCTGCCCCCCCTTTGGAACGCGGCTCAGGCGACATTGCTTTTGGAGTCTGGAGGGCATGTGTGACAGACTTTTTCAGGCGCAGGTGGTGAACGTTTTCACGACATGGCCGCGTTTGTAAAGTCCATCAGTGAGATTTTGCGTTTTGCATGTCCGGGATTCTGCATCAGGAGACCAGATTGCCGAGCTGGATGAGGTGGGAAACGTGCCATCCTTGGAGCGGGGGCAGAAAGGAGGCCGCTGGAGGGTTTGGTTTGCAGGAGCAATGGAGATACAAGAACTTTGTTTCCTTTAGCTACAAAGCTTTCGGCATGCGTGGGGGTTCTATCGAACATCCACAATAAGTGATTTTGTCATGAGAAGCTGTTGCCTTTGCGCAGGCAAAGTAGAAAACCCGAGGTCTTTGACCGCGCCAGCTCCGGCGGGCTCGTGCAGCACTTACCTGCGGAACTAACGGAAGAGTTCGTGCAAGTCTTGAAACGGAAATCGACAGGTTCCTCCATGGAGCTCGTGCATTGACCGGGCATGTGTCACAAGGGATCCATTCCCTTTGGTTTCCCATTGAAACCCATCGCATGCGCGGTGGCCTTAGGTTCGATCAAGGCAGACCTATGGCGGGGCGCTTGCGGACACAGCAGCCCAGGCTCCGGGACCTAATTAAGCCTAAGCGCTTAGGACGGCCTCCCATGCGTGCAATGGCTGCTGTCTCGATGTTGCAGGCTTCCAGCTACGTCCCAGAACTGCAACAGTCCTTCTACGAGGACTCGGCTTCAGAGTTTGACGAGATGTTGCTCTGCGGCCCTGATGCTTGTCTTGGCATTGTCAGTTTCCCATTGCGCATATTTGCAGGCGTCCACTTACGCCGACTGGCAGCAATCCTCGTACGCGGAGGAGGGGTTGAACCGCTTGAAGTTGATAAGCAGATTTTGCACAGCTAGCTGCTTCTGGACATTGGACATTCCAATGTCTTCCATGCACGTCTCTGCCGTATCAATGAGTCATTTGACTCGCACAACATTTGAGGTTCAGGCGAAGCACGCAGGATCATTTCAGCCTTGAGCATTCAAGACGTACTAACAAACAGTTTCTGGCAGTGCAAGGTGCCATTGCAAGAGGGAGTGGTTTTGAAGCCTTGCGCCACTCGAACAAGTTGACAGGGCGTGTTTCCTGGTTCAGCATGTGCAGGCCATTTGTGCCATCCCCGTTTGTTGTATCTCTCAAAAGGACACCGCCGTGAAGCCAACCTTTGAGGGGGTCCCGGCTAGTTTTGACGCCCCCCAATTCCGTGGACGTTGCCTGACTCGGCAAGGACACAGGCTGGCTAGAAGTCAGATCTCCGTCTGGAAGGCTCTATTACTGGAATCAGCTCTTTGGCCTGTTGCTCCTATGACCATGACCTGAATGTTAGTTTGTAGCCATTGCTTACAACGAGGTTCACACAAGAGGAGCGCCTTGGCAGTGCAAAGCCATGGTGGTCGATTCGAGGATGAGTGGTTTTTGGGGCAGGCTTCAAATAGAAACGTCCTGAGGTGGGAGCCGGGGCTTGATGACACGCTTCAACCCGAATAGCCTCAGATGCTGGACTTGCCATTCCCTTCCCACCAAACCTACGCACAGAATGCAGCTGTGGCCAAGCCAAAGAGCTGTCATCAAGTGATCTGAGTGTCTCAGGTCACGTTTCATCATCTCAAAGAAGGTGTCAAAGACAACCCCGCAGTGCATGAATTGTGGAGTCTCCAAGCTCACTTGCGCTTGGCAACCGCCTGCCGCATGAGCAGCTAGTGAAACTGGCGCGTGCCAGCAAAAAAGCTAGGGACAGCGGTTCATGCCATTGCACTGTTTGCGTTGTGCACCGTGCCTGTAATAGCTTGCACCCTAAGAGCCCTCGGTTCTGGAGCTTGCACGCTTGGACACCTGCAGCATGTGAAGGCTCTCTATTATCGAATGCAATGTCAGGTCAAGAGTTGCCGGCTGAGCTGACAAGAGCAACCAATTTGACGGCTAAGATTCAAGATGGCGCCGTTCGCTTCTCATCTTGGGAGATGTAAGGGCCCTTGCCGCCCCTAGAATCGCGCACGCAGAAAGGGAGCCATGTCGGGCAAAGAGCGAGCAGGAGGAGCTGAGCTGCCAAGCTATTTAAAGATTGTGAAGCAGCCAAGCGCTCAGAGCTCAAGGCATTTCTGTGCAACGTGGTAGCTGGTCATGCCGAAACCTGCATTCAGATTTGTTGGATTAGCTGCGAATGTTCTGGGAGGCATGCTTGCAAGCTGTAACGCGAGGCTTGGACGTGGTGCGTACGGAACCGTGTACCTTTGCGAGGACAAGAAGTCGGGCGAGCAGGCTATTGGCAATGTATCACATCCCATCCAGAAGTCTTTTTTTCTCTCTCCAAAGCCACTTCTCTTCTGTAACAAAGTCAAAGTGCGCTTCGAGATGATTTGTCATGCGACACGGAGGCTCTGACACGCAAATCAAATGGCAGGTGGCCGTGAAGCATGTGAAGCAAGCGGCGCGGCACGGAAAGAGCATGCTCCGCGAGGCGCAACCCCTTGCCATGGGATCTCAAGCGAAACGGATCCACCTGGTCGTGGGAAGATGCTTGGATGCCCCTGGCGAATGGCATTTGTTTGGATCGCTTTGCAAGATGCGTTCGTTGAAGCTCCAGCAGAGTTTCTCAACACCTGTTGGCAGTGAGATCGTGACGGTCCTGAGTTTGTGCGCGGATTGGTCAAAGTTCAAAGTGGAGAAACAAGCAACCATGGCTCAAGCGTCATGCTTGACTGCATGCCTCGGTGTCAGATCCGGCTGTTGGCACGGCTGCGCCACGAGAACCTGCTGTATCTTTTGGACTTCCCTGCTGCGCGGGTCCCAGAGTTGAACCAAAGTCCAGTTCTGGGTACTGGCAGGCTCCTTTGATAGGCTTTGGTTGTGACTGAGGTTGTGACTCAAAAAGGGCCACATGGGGCGCCGTGTTCCTTCTGCAGCCAGTGAAACCAAGAACCACTGAGGTCTCTTCGCCGGACTATGATGACATCTACCTTGTGCTGCCGTGCGCCGACTGTGTGGCCAAGTAACCGGAGCCCCGTAGTGGCCAAGTGGGACTCAAAATTGTGTACCCCGTTTTTTGTTTTTGTATTTTTTTTTGAAAGGAAGCCAAAAGGAGACCAACCATAGTAGGGGAGCCCTATTTTGAGAAACTCCAAAGCTTTAAGGGTTCCGTTTCTTAATATTAAGGCAACCAGAGGGAAAACACTATTTTATATTTTGGGGGTCCCCTAATTTGGAGACCAACTGGCTTGTGTGGATAGGTTTTGCAATCATTCAGGGGAGGATCGGGTCGATTTAGGGTGGTTCTTGACTGGGAGAGGGTTAGTGGAGTGTGGGTCTAGATTGGTTTTGGGTTGTAGAATTCATGTGGGAGGTTTAGGCTTGTTCCAGCTGGGCGGGTGGCTTCAAGGGCTTGCCTTGGGCTAAACCGAGTCAAGCAGCGTGTCCCAAGTGGTCACTTTGTGCAAGTCCCAGTGCAGCTGAATCCAGAGTCCAGAGTTCAAAGAAAGCCTTGCCTTCTTTCGGTCAAAACTAGGTACCAACAAAAGTCCCTGGCGAATGGAACAAAGGACTAAAACCTGCGGCGCCCTGGTGGTTCAATTTTGACCCATGTGAGCAGGATAGCGTTTACCATCACTTCGATCTCCCTCGAGGTATTTGGCGGCAGACCTCCACAAGATCATCCAGTCGCAGCAGGCGGATCGCGGCGAAGCATCCGGAAGTCTATCCTCCCCTATTCACATGGAACCTGACGTTTCGGGGGTTCCTGATTTGGGCCATTGTCCTTTTAAAGGGACCCCAAACGTCAGATTCCGTGTGAAAAGGGTGGGAGGGTACGTGACACATGCCATGTACCCCTGGAGATTTCGTTGCTCTTTAACCTGTAGTGCACTGCTTCCACCACCAACTGGAAACATGTTCAGCAGTTTGCTGGGGGCCAAAGATCGAGCCAGAGATGGCCGCCTCTTCTTTAACGGAGGTTTTGCGAACAATTGCAACTGTAGCTTCCACGACTTGGACCATGATGAGGCTCCCATGAGGTTTTCACCATGGCACCGCCTTTTTTTCTTCTTCCTTTTTTTTTTCTCTCTCTCTCTCTCTCTGCTTCTCTCTGCTTCTCTCTTTCTCTCTTTCTCTAGCCTTGCATCTTGCTATTTTCAACATGTCTAGCATCGGGCGGTTCGTCTATTGGCTGCTTGCTTGCTTACTCGGTGACTCGGTGACTCGGTTGCTTGGTTGTTTGTGTGATTGCTTTCTGTTCAGAAGGTCGCTCGGTGGATTCGGCTGCTCAGCTCGGATGAGCCTCTGACTTGCTGAGGCCTTGAGCGAGAAACATGTGCAGGTCATCCTGGTGCAGGCCGGTGGCCAGTTATTGGGGATCCCGCGAGTGGGAACGTGCGCGAGCTCTTTTAGTGGTTGGTTTTTGAGCAGAAAACAACGCAGAAAGCACCTCATTGGAAGGGCTCTCCTGATTTTTAAGCTTGCCCAGGTGAGTTGGTTTGGCCCCTTTTCACAATTCCAACCCTACCAGCAAAGAAAACATGTTTCGGCCATCCCTGGAAGGACTTCAACCCAGGGTTCGTGGGCTTGTGTCCTTTTTGGTTTGGGGACGCAAGATGGAAGCCTGACCAGAATCCCAGAAGTGTCTTCTGCCGTGGGATCTTTCAACTTCGCTCGGGACGCACGGTGCAGATCTTGCGCGCCATGGAGTACCTCCATGCATCTGGAGTGGAGGGCTTACGGGCCACCAACTGCATATGGATGCATTCAAGCACAGCCAATGGTGAGTCAGGCCATACAGAACTATGTACATGCGCATTCTGCGAACACACTGATCAAGGCATGACATATGTTTGTACGCGCGGGGGCATGTGCCGAATACACAGCACGGTTTTCGGCGCCTTTTCTGTGGTGGGTTGCACCTCCAAGGTGGCGCATCGTGACCTCAAGCCGGCCAACATTTTGCTGTCCTCCGACTGCAAGCTCAAGGCTCCCGTGAGGAACATAGATGTCACGTGGGTTTCAGTTTAGTTCTTAATTGTTTGCCAGTGGCATTTGTTTGTTTTGAAAAGGACACCAAGGGTAGACAGGTTCCTGAATTGCCCACTCCTGGCACGTCCAGGTTGGAAGTCAGGGAGTCGAAAAGGTACGTGCTGCATTGCTGCCATGTCCGCAGAACGGAATGACCCATGGTTTGGTTCTCTCCCTGCAAGCAGGAGCCACAGAGTCTTTGGAAGAGCATTGGCTGTTGTCGTTGCTAGGGATCTATTATTTGATGCACCAAATCTCGGCTTTTATGGGATCTGGGCATCGGGGAACTCCATTGCTGATAGGCCAGGGTTGACGTGCTGGATGCTTGCTAGCAGCACTTGCTGCTTCTTCCATGTGTTCGTGGAGCATAATGCGAACCTCAGGTGAATCAGTGTTTGGCTCATGATCCTGCAGTCTGGGGTTGCAGTCCCCTCTTCGCCGAGCCATCCGGCAACATGGGCAGCTGTTAAGGTATTGGGTTTCCAGTATCTCTTTCAAACGTCTCTGAATCTCATTGGCTGGAACACGCTGAAAAATGGTTGGTGGACATACATTCGCAAACATACGATGTTCACCAAAGGGTCAAATGGTCCCAAGAGTGGTGATGTTTGATCAGAATTTGCAGTAGTCCCTTGGGAGGCACATTGGGGAGCTCATTAAATCTCCTACGTGTGGACTGAACAAGACAAATCCCACAATAAAAAGGGGACTCACTAGATTTCCCAGTGGACTCCGTTTGCTCCGGGAACGGCGCATGTCGCCAGGTCTGCGACTTTGGCCTAGCGCGGGGCGGCCTTGGGCTGGACGGGGACGAGCCGGAGGAGGCGCCCGAAGTGAACTGCGAGGTCCCCAAAACGAAAGGCAAACCCCTTGGCGCCCCCCACACCCATGTTTTGTTGCTTCTGTACGCGTTTGTGGGGGAACATGGGCCCTACTCAGTTTCCAGTGCGACTGCTGTTGAATTCAATTGGCAGTCAGGCCTGTGGGACTTTGACGGAGTATGTGGTGACTCGCTGGTACCGCGCGCCGGAGGCAGGAGAAGCGCTGGATATTTACAAACTGGTGAACTCGGGGTATTCCACGGTGCTTCTTTTCGTTTTTCTTTTCTTTCCCGTGGTGCCATGTGCGAGTTCGGGATGTGCGAGTTCGGGGAGTGTCCGGCGTTTTTTTTCTGTTTTTTCCTTTTTTTTTCTCTTTTTTTTTTCTCCTTTTTTTATACAAGAAAGGGGAGCAAGACACTTGTTTTGTTGGGGGTTCCGGACACCATGAATTGCATGAGATGTTCATGATAATCGCCAGCAACATCGAAGATGCCCAACACATTCTTACATTGTTCAAAAGGCTCAAATTGAACGCAATACCTCACTGCCAGCATGAGGTGGCGGAGTGAGGCAGTGACCAGGGATGATGACATTGACAACTGATGAGAACCTTCAAATACTTTTCTGGCCAAAAGGCTGTCACTATCAAGGACATGATGCCACAGGTCAATCGATGTTCGGTGTTCTGAAACACGGGCCACAAGGTGATGCTTCTGCCAAAGCAGTACTCCACGGCTGTAGACATTTGGTCTGCGGCAAGCTGAGAGCGAAGCAGCCGAGAACACTTGAACTACCATGCTATGCAGTTGATGCGGACTGTCGACATACTTGGAGCAGCATCCTGGTTTCTGGTGCTTGCAGTTGTTTCATCATATCTTACAGCACCAAAAGGCATATTGAGGGTGCTGTGTGTGCCGGCTTAGGTCGGCTGCATTCTTGGAGAGATTCTTGGGAGGAAGGCCACTTTCTTGGCTGAAACAGGGATGAGAAACTGAGCGTCGCACAGCTGATCCTCGTTTGTTGTTATCAGTGTATCCGAAGTCAGCCTGGTTCATCTTGGCAGAACCGGCGGCAGTTTGCTCTGGGAATTGTGCAACCGGAAACTTATGTCGGGGTGACCTTGATATTGGCTGAGCATTGGTGCTAGGTAACCGGTTTGAATCGATGAATCATCAGGGAGCCATCCCTGGGTCTTTGGCCAATTTCGGGCTCCGCTTTGCGCGCAGGCAATGTTCCCGGGCAAGAACCACATCGACATGGTGCATGGCTCTGGCATGCCTTCCCAATCGATAGCAGTGCCCAAAACCCGGGTTCTAGGTTTAGCGCGCTACTCATTTGAGGTTTTATGGAGGTTCTATCACCTTGTTAAACGTGGATTCTCATGAGGGCCTACATCTTAGAAGCCGACGTTGGCTTTTCAGCGCTCATTTGCGCTCATTTGCACACCAGGTTTTAAGAGAGCGATGGAATGGAAGAGTTGACACTCATTCCCGGAGGAGGAGGGGGGGGATTGTTTCCTCTTCAACACCATGGGAAGGGACTGCCATGTCAGATTGAACTTGCAGACGGGGCAGACTGTGATGCTCGGATTTGGGTGACAAATTGCAGAGGTGACAATGGTGGCAAAGTTCGTGGGCAACCCCAGCGATGAGCAACTTGGATGGCTGCCCAAGGCGGGGGGTCAGTGCCAATGACTCTCCCCTCTCCCAGGTTCCTGCAGTGAAAAGGCTCTGGTAAGAGGCTCAAAAAAGGAAATACTCGAGGGGCACCGCCAAACAGGTCCCCAGTCGCTGATATGCGACGTGTTGCTATATTGTGACCTTTGACCCTCCCAAGCAAGCCCTCCTTGTTACATATCGAGTCGCGTGCTTAACGACTTAAACGAACATTTGAGTCGCGTGCTCAACTGTTGATAGATCCACAGCAACTCAAATCCATTGCCAGACCTACTCACCCAAACAGATTTTCCTGCCAACCAGCAAACAGTTATTGCAAGGGATCCAAGAATCACGGAAGGCATCCCCACTTTGCAGACTTCTTTTGACAGGCAGAGGTGCAACTGGAAACACAAACTAATTTGATCCAATGTCCCCCCCCTCATTTGATTGCTCTTGCAGGAGACGGACGCATATCGATTTCTGCGGAAGGCTGGCTAATTCGTGGGTGCTGTCTCGATTTGGTTTGTAACCCAATCCAAGGGATTCTGCACCGGTGGAGTCTGCTAGGTGACAGGGTGTGGCCATGCTTCCAGGATTTTGGGGTCACCCGAATTTGAGCAGCGACTGGATCGAGGCTGCCCGTGCCAGAGTGCGTCGTTGAGGCCCCACTTACCCATCGCCAGGTATGTCCTCAAGGATCCGGCGTGAACCTGGGCGCGCCGCCTGTGATTGCTTGGCTCAGGGATAGGACTAATCCCTGTGGCTGATACGAATAGCGGCGGAATTTCATCGAGTTTGGGACTGCCTGTTTACGAAGGATGAATATTTCCCAAGTCCAACTCCGGAGGGGTGGCTGACCCGACGACATGACACACGGGCTGAGTGCTTGCTGGAGTTATCCATGCCCAGATCTACAAGGTTCCAGAGAGTGTGGCTTTGTCTTCTTTGGGTTGTTTCAATCGAGGGCCCTCATTATTGGGCTTCCAGCCCAAATTTGGAACATGCCCGTATGCCTCGTGCGCAACCTGGCACGACGCCAGCCTCGACGTACCCGAATGCCTCGCCAGCGTGCCTGAGTTTGCTGAAAGCCTTGTTGTGCCAGATCCCCAGAGCTTCCGCTGAGTGTCACGTGGAGGAACGCGTTGGCAGAACCTATGAAGCATCGACTGGGAAACTGTGAGGTTGGGATCCGCGCGAACGATTGACGGCTGCGCAAGCGCAGAAGCACGAGTGACTCCGGGCTGTGGTGGGCGGGGGCTTCTTGAAGACCTGGTTTCTGGGGGGTTCTGGGACGGTCATCAATCCCCTTGATGGGGAGGTTGGACTGCCGTCGGCAGGAACCCTATCGGAGGTTTGACAATGACCCCAGGAGCTTCGACGGCAGCACTTGTGGTACAGTGGATTCTCCAAGTATTGCAAGTGACCCAGCTACATGGTATCCGGCTCATAGAAGTCCGTGTGGTTTCATATCTTTTCAGAGAGGAGAAACAGTACCCTCCAAGTCTCGGTGGAACCAGTTTATTCCGGAAGCTCTCACAAGTGTCGGAGCTAGGAAAGGGCTCACAGAAGGTCCTCATGTTTTGTGTGTTTTGGGCGACTTCCGCCAGAGGTTGGCTTCAGCGAAGTGTTAGAACATGTTGGAATTCTATTGGGTTTTGCATGTACGTGCTGCCGTCCAGGCCCACAGACCTTGAGTCAACACCGGATTCAATCATGACATGCTGTGCGTTTTCAGCTGCGATATCCATGCTTCCGCTGGAATTTGACACGGCTGTTGTCAACAGCACTCCACAAAATGGACAAAACCATGGCGGAAATCGCAGCATTTCCCTTGTCCCCCCGCTTGCACTATTTGGGTTATCCACCACATCCTTCCCCAGATTGATTCATAGGTCTCAGAAGCCGTCAGCAAGGTACGTGAAGCATTACTATCCTCGCGAGCCACCTACCCCGCCAGAGCCCTTTGACTGGACCGGGATGATGTTGCCGAGTTGTTCCAGGCACAAATCTCACAGGGCACAAATGTGCCATGGTCAATACCCTTAATTACCTCCGGCAGGCGCTGCCCCTTGCAGGGAATTTTCACAGGCATTGAGTCAGAAAAGTGCTCCGAGAGGCGAACGCGGCATGAGGTTTGCCACCGCAGATGGGATGCTTGAGTGAGCTGGCCTTGCATTCAACGGCAGGACATTTGATGGTTTCAAAGCCACAGCGAAGAATGTCCAGGCCGAGCTGCGATTAGTTGAGCCGTCACCTTGAGCGGTTGCTTGCACCCCCCCTCAGTATACACCCGCAGCATCAGGTACTCATTAGCCTGTCCCTTTGTTCCAATGTTAGCCATTGCATAGTACGATTTGCCAGGGATTTCGCAGAGGAAGAGACGGCCAGAACCCGAAGAAGAAAGGGAAGAGGGGGGAGAGGGGGAGAGAGAGTGCCAAGCCCACCAACAGCCCGGACACTGCCAGGTGAAGCTCTACGAGGAGCCGCCTGCCTGGACAGGGGACCCCTCCAGCCATGTCAGTTTTAGCTTTCACGAGCTGAGTTTTGTTCCGCTTAGAGGCCAATGAAGAGGCAAGGTTGCTCGCACTTGAGATGGGGGATACTTTGCAGTGGGTTTTTCCGAATTTTCCGCCTACGAACTACAGAACCCCTCCATTCCAAGTTCCAAGTTGGCCAGATTGCCAGCTCTGACACTTCCGAAAGCCATCAGCTGTGCATCCTGATGCGTGCCGGTCAAATCCAGCGGGTGTTGGTAATAGCCTTCAAGGGAAGCATTAGCAACTGGGCCCCCTTTTTGTGGCGGTTATATGCAACTTGTGGGAGGAGAGAGCCCATTGTATGCCGGCGTGGTGTTTAAACCGCAGTGTGTTTTTCACTATGAGCGTCTGACAGTCGAACAACCGGGGCGAGAGCAGTTCCCTCTTTCCAAGATGAGGTTTCCTTGGAAAAGAGATGATTTACAAATCCCTTGCGGCCCGCTTGTGTGCGCTGGAACAATGCGCGGGTAGAGCAGTGGGGCTGTGTGCACTTTGTTATTCCCCTTGGTGCCGTGAATGCACGGCCAAGTGCTTCGATGCTATTCCCCCTTGGTTTCCGGAGACATGGGGCTGTTTGCGAAGCGCGTTCATGTTGGCTGGGCACAGGCTTTTTCAGACTCAGACACTTACAGGCCGCACAAGTTGTGAGAGGTGTAGTGTCGATTGCATCTCGCCCACCCCACAGCAACTCTTGCCCGAGCAGCCTCCTCCGGTTTTGCCGAAAGGGGGGGTGGACATGCGAGTTTGACGAGAGCAAGGCGGACCAAACCATAGTTTTTCTCCGTCTGTTTTTTAGAAAACTAGACTGCTGGATCGCTAGAGTCCGCGTTGTTGAAATGAGGAGATAGAGTAAGTGCTTTTGTCAAAAGGGGGGACTGGAACTGCATGAGTCGGACAATCATCTCTACGCGCGCCTATCGATTCCAACAAACAGCACTGTTGTAGACAAAAGACGGTGATGCTGGGGGTGTCGACCAATGTAATTGGTCTAGGAACATGTATCTATGTTTACTCAACGCAGTGCCGTCTTTCAGACTGAAACGGTAGTCATGCTGGG